ATGAAGATGGCATTTGTCTTTACTTTGTTACTTCCGAGGGCAGACAACACGTCAAAACTCACATCACGTTGTGTTGTAGTCAATATCGCATAGTAGTTTGAGAAAAGATTCTTAACTAAATATATTCTGCTTGTTTTCGGAACTGTTAAAATATATAGGACAAACTTATTCATTCTACATTCAAGCCCCGGGCATCACACATCTCTCCAGACAATGCGGTGTTAAACATACACACACTTCACGTAGTCATAGAACGAGAGAACTAACGATCATACAAGGAAACTTTGTTCACATTTGATATGTTTGTGTGTTTATAATACCATTGTGAAGGAATGTATGTTACCAGGATCTGGTGTTTATTTTTGCATAAACAGGTAAGCAAACTGTACATTGACAGCGTGGTAAGGTGTTAATGGTACCGTGTTTACGCCAATCCTTCACTCACTGAACCATGTTACCCTGTACGACTTATTTAAAGCACGAGGAGTAATAGTTCAGTTGAAAACTTCACTGTATCACAATTTACATGATGGCGAAGTTTACTATATTTCTTTTCTAAGATGTCAAATTTGACACCGACGATTGATCTAAGGCACAAAAGAAACCATAACGATGTTATAATGATCTAAATTAACAATCCACGATCAGGGCTTCCTGACGTGCTGTGTCTGCTCTCTACGTTAAGATAACGTGCTACCAATACAACAAATCTCGATCGTCCCCTCTTATCATTTCAAATATACTTGTGACTATCATATGGTTTACATAGGACGTGTTACCAGTGCATTTAGGTCACAATAGTCACGTCATCTTGCTCAGATTGCCTGTGAGTCAAGCCACTGAAAACATGAAACGGGTTATTCGCAAAACGGTAATGGTCAATCGTGACGTCGGATACCATGGGTACGTTTGATACGAGGGGTAGACTAGAATGGCGTATGGGCGTCCATTTTTTGTGACGTTGTTTCAAAAACTGTACTTTATCGCCTGATCTGTCCGCGCCATTGATCTTTTAGCGAAGTATATAAGAAGGACGATTAAATATATACACCAAAGTTATGTTTAAATCTTTCCTTTTTTCAGCTGTCCTGGACTGGGGCTCTGTGACCTTCTCTCCACAACTGACCTCTCTCCCGTCGTCCGTTACACCACAGAACCCCATCTCCGTCACTGTGACCACTCCATGTGCTGCACCTGCCGCCGTCATCACATGGAGATACCAACAGGTAGGTACCGTCCTACAAGTTCATTCCTCACCGCAGTACATCTTCCACCCAGGGATCATGTCCATCAGGTCCGGTCCAGACAACCAACACCCTGTCTCTACCAGGGAACACAGTCAGTCTATCTAACTACTGTTTTGTGTTTACAGGGTGTGAGTGGCGTCCCTCCCAGCAGTACATCTTCCACCCAGGGATCATGTCCATCAGGTCCGGTCCAGACAACCAACACCCTGTCTCTACCAGGGAACACAGTCAGTCTATCTAACTACTGTTTTGTGTTTACAGGGTGGGAGTGGCGTCCCTCCCAGCAGTACATCTTCCACCCAGGGATCATGTCCATCAGGTCAGGTCCAGACAACCAACACCCTGTCTCTACCAGGGGACACAGTCAGTCTATCTAACTACTTTTATGTGTTTACAGGGTGTGAGTGGTGTCCCACCCAGCAGTATATCTTTCACCCAGGGATCATGTCCATCAGGTCAGGTCCAGACAACCAACACCCTGTCTCTACCAGGGAACACAGTCAGTCTATCTAACTACTGTTTTGTGTTTACAGGGTGTGAGTGGCGTCCCTCCCAGCAGTACATCTTCCACCCAGGGATCATGTCCATCAGGTCAGGTCCAGACAACCAACACCCTGTCTCTACCAGGGAACACAGTCAGTCTATCTAACTACTGTTTTGTGTTTACAGGGTGTGAGTGGCGTCCCTCCCAGCAGTACATCTTCCACCCAGGGATCATGTCCATCAGGTCAGGTCCAGACAACCAACACCCTGTCTCTACCAGGGAACACAGTCAGTCTATCTAACTACTGTATTGTGTTTACAGGGTGTGAGTGGCGTTTGTGTTTACCCAGGGATCATGTCCATCAGGTCAGGCGACAACCAACACCCTGTCTCTACCAGGGAACACCCAGCAGTTTACATCTTCCCCACATCTTCCACCAAGGGATCATGTCCATCAGGACAGGTCCAGACAACCAACACTCTGTCTCTACCAGGGAACACAATCAGTCTGTACAACAGGCAGGTGTCTCTCACTGTCAGTGTGGAACATGACTCCTTTGATCCCCCGACGTATACAAAGTCTGTCACTTCAAACACCATACAGTTCCCTGGTAGGTACACATCAACAGCCAGTCTTCCTGTTGTTACCTCATGGTGTTTATTGCAGCAAAAAAAAAGATGAGTTTCACATCGACAGTAAACAAAGACAGTGTCTTAGCACGGACACCCAATTATTAAATGTGGTGTTTGGGCGCCACGAATGGAACACAGATGATAAAAAATGCCAGTTAAGAAGCTGTATATGTTTGTAATGCATATTATGCTTCAGACACCTCGTACACGTGAACCAAGGTAGGAAGAAATGAACTTCGCAAACTGAAACCAACAATCGGTTATACCAACTTGGGTTGTCCATCAAGACGTGATGACGTATTTCTACGACGATGTCGTATTGGCCACAGTCGGTTTTACTCATGGCTATCTGCGCAAAACAGATGGAGATCGATCTACTAACACCTAAGTGTTTTCACCATCAAACATAGTCTGTTTGGTTGTGTGGACTTTTCAAGCAGGCATGTCATTGCCAACTATTTGAGAGAAAATGGCCTCTATCATAAATTGTAATTTGTATATGTATGACTAATTTACTGGGATTATTTTAAAGAAAAGAAACTTAAAACCTCAAGAAAATATGTTGTACTTGTAACTAAAATGTGTATGTTTCCTGATTTGGTCGTTATATGGCTGAAACAATACCGAAGCGAGGTAAAACTCACTCACTCACTCGTATGCCACGGTCCATGACTTCACGCCTTTGTCCGTTCATTCTGAAACTAAGAGTCCTCATCAGTGTATAACGAGCTATAGATATATTTCGTATATTTTAAACTTTATCCTTGGCAAACTGTGAGTAGTATAGAATCGATACACATGCATTTTGTGTCGAATTTGTGCACCGGACACACGAAAGATTTCTCTGAGAAACCAATTTACACGAGAAATCTTTCGTAAAAGCAAAGTTATCCTGAAAGGTCGAATTTAGAAACGGTTGCGTAAATTATGAGGGATTGTATGTTTTCTGACCCTTAGACCAATACTTTTCCACATCTCAAATCTAAGACAGCACAATCGTCCAGCACAGCTACCTTGTGTTGCCGTCTTTAATGGAGATTAAGCAACCACTCTATACACAAGACGCGGCAAACAGTGTCTGGTGTAGTGGTGCAGGATTCTAAAATGTCATGGTGGAATATTTACTATATTCAAATGAGTCAAATTGGTGCAGCTACTATTGCTGTCAGATTTGTTTTATTTTCTTGTGAGAAGATCAGTTGATATTATTTTAAAGATACTAGCAGAATATACACTTTCTTTAAATGGCCTTTTTTTTTAATATATCCGATTTTGTTACAACCAATGGGTGCTACGTCGATATGTTTCCAGAAGAAGTACACAAGACCGTACTTTCAAAATACCTCAAATCAGCATCGAACACTAACTCGGAGGTTCTTTATAGTATGTTGTAAATATAGCCATATCATCAGTTATGTGGTATATGGTACTGAAGTAGTGGTATCCGGTACAACTGTTTGTCATGCAGATGTTAGCATCGATGAGTTCATTTGTTACAGTCCCAGTCAGCTCTGTGACACTGCCAAACATCAGTTCCGATAATGAGGAGCTAGGACGTGAAGCAAATCAATCCCTGACCTTGACCTGTGTGACCTCAGCCAGTTTTCCCATTTCTACTGTGACCTGGGTGACCTTGCCATCAGGAACGTCACCTACAGTCAGCACAGAGACGACATCTGGTGTCCTGGTGAAGACAACAAGCTCCGTCACATTCACTGTCAGTAGAAGTGACCAAAGGGAGGAGCATTCGCTGTCAGGCTGAAAACATCAACGGTCAGACATCCCCGCAGTCTAACCGAGCCACAATGGAGGTTTGGTGTAAGTAGGCACAGTCTAACAGAGCCACACTGGAGGTTCGGTGTAAGTAGACACAGTCTAACAGAGCCACACTGGAGGTTTGTTGTTAGTAGACACACTCTAACAGGGCCACACTGGAGGTTTGGTGTAAGTAGACACATTCTAACAGAGCCACACGAGGTCTTTGTGTAAGTAGACACAGTGTAATAGAGCCACACGGAAAGTCTGGTGTAAGTAGACACAGTCTAGCATAGCCACACTGGAAGTTTGATGTAAGTAGACACATGGTAACAGGGCCACACTGGAGGTTTGGTGTGAGTAGACACAGTCTAACAGGGCCACACTGGAGGTTTGTTGTAAGAAGACAGAGTACTAGTCTTGCTGATAAATGGTGGAGCTTTGGAGATGGTAGCAAGTGTCCAACAGGGCTACATGTTTGGTGTAATTTGTCCAAAACAGTTAGACTGAAGGTTTTATCTGAGTAGACACGCTGAAGGTTGGGCGTGAGTTGTGTGACAGGTATGCAGTGCCATGTTTATCATAAGACTTGATTGGTGTCAACGGACTTCTATCTATTGATCAGTCACAGTGTAACACAGCAGTGGTGAAGCGTTTGTGAAAGTAGATGATTTGTACAAAGAAGATAGAGTCTTCAGAGCTACACTGAACGATTGAACACTGAATTATAAGAAACAAATTGGTGGTTTGTGACAAAGTGACAAAGTGTAACAGAATAAAGGTAAAGCTGTTGCGGAACCATATCTATCAGGTGTAAGCTAGAGTTTGTGTATCAGTAGCGCAAATAGCACTGTAATGATAAATAACTGTGCTGCATTCCAGTCGGACCAGAGCATGTTGATATGACAAAACCAGACAGCAGCGCGACTTTAGAGAACAGTAACCTGACCTTGACTTGTGGTACCACCGGTTACCCCAACCTGACCTTCACCTGGGACTACAGCGATGGAACACCTGTAGGTGGCAGCACAGGACCTGTAGCAGACTCTTCTACTCGGTGGTCCCAGACTCTCAACTTCAGGCCAAAAAAAGGCAAGGCAAGTGTAAGATGTCACGTCAGAAACACAAAAACATCCACCATTAAGACTGGCTCTGTGTCACTAGATGTCAAGTGTGAGTATTCTCATTGTGGAAATACCGAGCTAATTGTATTGAGGCCATTCTGAAAAAAGGTTCTATACTTCATACATTGTCATTTATACTTCATTTATACTTATACAATCTTGATTGTTCCTGTTACAGACCCCCCCCCGCCTGTCCCTCCTTCCATCACACAGTTTCCGGATCTGATGTTTGAAGGAGACCAACAGACAATTAGCTGCTCGGTGACAGGAGGAAATCCTCTAGCTACGATCACATGGTCCTGTCCTGGGACTGGATCAGCATCGGTCACTGACAGTGGTCAGACCAGGACATCTACTCTCTCCTTTGCTGTCAGCAGGAGTCAGAATGGTCAACAGTGTCAGTGTCTCGGGACGTGGCAGTATGGAGGATACAACTACACTGATGTCAGGACATTCAACGTCAGCTGTGGGTATCATTAACTGTTTCTGAATGGACTGACAGGTACAAAGAGTCATTCTACCAACAGCGACACGTAACAAGGATAAAACCTGACGTATATGATGGACCTTCAGGTTTTGGCCAGGCCATGAATTAACAGTAATATCACGGATTCCAAATACAATTTACACTTTTTGCTGTATTCGGTTCCTTTGTTCCATTGAATTGTAGATCAGTATTGGTTGAGATCCCTTTGTTTTCTATCTTCAGCTGTACGATGTCCTCTCCGATAGGAAGCTGGGGATACAGTAAAATGTAACTAGGCATTCTACCCGCACACTGTCCTTTCTCTGCATAGTATAAGTTGCACTTTCCATTGAAAGATTTACTGTTAATGCGTTATGTATACATATAATTTGTAGGGATGTTTTAGACGCAGCAGTTTAGAGATAGATGGCACCTTTGTCAAGCACAGAACACACAGATTCGCACACAAGTCAGCTCAATCAGTAAACATAGAATCATTTGTAATACCACGTAATTAACATTTATACTGCAGGTCCCACTAGCACGCAACCGCTTAAAGACGAATATACCAAGACAGGTGTAATAGCTGGAACCGCAATGGGAACCCTGTTTCTTACCTTGCTGATTGAAGGAGTAGTTCTAACGGTACTCTACCGAAAGGGGTTCAGGTGTGGAAACGTCATGAAAGGTAAATCTCATTAGCATTGGAGTAGATTCAATTCAGACTTTAATTGATAAAGATGATTGACGTTCGTGAACTAAAAAGGTCATAATGAACTCATCATGTAGTTCGAATGTATACACACAATGGCACGAAAAGAGTATCACCAATTGCTGCTTATAGGCAGGGTGTTGTTTATTGGTTCTTTATCCTTCGCATATCTCATTATTCGTTTGCAACATTTCCCAAATGCCATATTCGTCATTTGTGATATTTATTTTACAGGGCACTATATATGTATTCTCTTCTTTCAGGATCTGCTTCGCCAAAAAAGGTAGGTTAAGCATGTAAATAAAACGTATTGAAATAATCTGCTTTAAGATAACGTAAAAGGTTATTTATTTTAGATCTAAACACCAACCATTTTAATGTGTTCCTGATCATTATAAATTCAATACACCGACCTTACTTGCCTTTTCAGCCCCAGAAATCCTGAAATTGAAGAAATGGAAAACACAGCAGGATATTCATCCCTTGGTAGGTTCAACATTTCTAGTCAGACATATCGAGGTGATCACTGGCAGGGAGATGTACTGATACCGTTAATATATGATCATGTTGATTTGTTACAGATCACATCAACAGTCCAGCTCAGTCCCCAAGCATGGATACAGGGGGTTCGGAAAGACAACATTACACAAAGCTGAAGGTTTATGAGAATACAAACGGTAGATAGATACAGTTTCTTACATTACTACAGAACTCAGTCATAAGTGAAGTGAAGGCATGCCATATTGCAGGTATTATACATGTATGTATCGTTGTGTTTACGTTTGGAAGGGTATATAATAATGTGTATATATTTTTTTAGTCGATGCCAAACCAGAAACAAGAACCTACGAAGACTTGACAGAGACGCCTCCTATACCATACGAGTCCATCAGCGCTTCTCCATACCAGAACAGCGGCTCTCAACCTCAAGGTACCCACAACTGAGGTGATCTATCGTATTGAATGAGAAGGAAAGTTACAATAATGAATTGTACACAAGAAGCAATGTTAGTTTCCAACAGATACCTAAGCTTCTGTTCTAATGCAGAATATTTTTATTTTTGGCATATTGTGTACGATAATAATGTGACAAATTTAACTGATATTCTGTTTTCAGATCCTCACTATAGGAATGCGTGAAGAAACACCAGATGTGACGGACACTATGTCAAGGGATAGTAATACACAGCCTATGAACTGATAGGTTTCTTAGCTCTCATGTAGTGTGTTTTACTGTCATCATTTGCTCGTTACCTGATAGTATTCCCCTATGATATTTCCCAGTAGTATGTACATTATAGTAAGTAAACCCAGAACATAACAGTTTATTGCATATGTCTTTTTCTATAATAGTAGATGAGTTCATGTAAGGATATGTAATAATGAAGGATGAATGGTGTTCATTGTCTGTTTGTATCAACTTTCCTTTTAAAGATTACGAGTTATATCGGAAATAAACACTCGTATAACCATCCACACTTTAGTATTTAGACAACCCTTTCTAAAGTATTATTGTATGTTTACTGTCTTATTGAAGTGGAAAGTTTACTCCGATACCCACTGCAACAAATACACACGTATCCATCCATTTTGGAAAGTTACATGCTGTGTTAAGAGTTCTGCATATACATGTATAAATAATATAACATCTTTGTATAAGTAAGACAACAAATCCGCAAACTGCTACACAGACCCGCTGGGTTTGAGATTACAGTGTCACAATCATTCGTTTGAATATCATGTCAACAGATGTGGTTCATTTTTGTTTTCGTGGGCTACATCACATCACGAGAGTCAGTCGTCTGTATGTGCGTATTGTAAGCCAAGGTCAGTTACACGGATCCATATCATGTGTGTTTTGTATAATAATAATAATAATAATAATATGGACATTTGTAGAGCGCAGTAGTAACTCCACACCTCAAGGGCATGCTCTTTGCGCAACAGTAAATATGTACACTATATACATGAAGAGGTTTTATAAGATTTAGTTGTGGTTGAACAAGAATGTTTTGAGTCTTGATTTAAAGATGGAGATGGAAGGAGATGACTTGACATGGAGCAGATGACTTGACATGGAGGAGATGACTTGACATGGAGGAGATGACTTGACATGGAGAAGCAGTGAGTTCCAGTGGGAAGCTGCGGGAACGCTGAAAGATCTGCCGCCAAAACTTTGCAACTTGTATTTTGGGACACTGAGAAGACCTTTGTCTTGAGATCTGAGAGACCGCGCTGGAGTGTAGGGTGTTATAAGATCTTGCATGTAGGAGGGCTATGAACAGTTTAGTGCTGAATATACAAGAGACAGCGTTTTGAATTTTATTCTTTCGCGGGTGGGAAGCCAATGGAGTGACTTTAGTATGGGAGATATGTGACATCTGGATTTGGTTCTAGTGACAAATCTTGCTGCGCTGTTCTGGATCTTCTGAAGTCTGTCTAGTGGTTCAGAAGGGATGCCTGCACAAAGACTATTGCAATAGTCCAGCCTGGATAAAAGGAGGGATCTTGCCAGAGTGGCAGCAGCATCAGTTGTTAAGAGATGGCGGATGGCTCCAATGTTCCTGAGATGGAAGTGGCAGGAACGACACACATGAGTGACGTGTTGCTCCATATTGAGACCTGAATCTAGATAAACACCAAGATTCTTTACGACAGGGGAAAACACTATGTTTGTATCTCCAATCCTGATGTTAGAAAACTGGCATTTCTGTAGTCGGGAATTCGGAGCAATAAGGATAGCCTCGGTTTTATCATCATTAGCACAAGCTTGTGTGATGTCATCCATGATCTGACATCTGAAAGACATTGTTCCATTTTCAGACATGTCAATGACTGGTTATCCTGGTCTAACTGTCAGACAGCTGAGTGTCATCAGCGTAAAAATGGTGATCTGTGTGACGATCCTGGATGAGCTGTCCCAATGGCCTGGTGTACATGGTGAACATCATTGGGCCTAACACCGATCCCTGGGGAACACCACAGGAGAGATCGAGCTTGTCTGACATTGTGTTGTTGATAAGAATGGATTGTGTCCTCCCTGTCAGATATGGGAAACACCATTGCAGAACATTTCCATGTATCCCATACTGGCGCTGTAGACGATCGATGAGCTTCTGGTGGTCGATAGTATCAAACGTTGCCGATAAGTCTAATAAGATGAGCATTGCAACCTTGCCAGAATAAACAGACATTCTGATTCTATCCAAGACATAGTTCAGAGCTGTTTCTGTGCTATGAGCATCTCGATACGCGGACTGGAACTTCTCCAATAAGTCGTTGTCTTCAAGGTGTTCAAGTAGCTGTGATTTTACAGCTTTCTCCAAGATCTTTGAAAGAAAGTTTAGATTTGACACAGGTCTAAAATGCTTTAGTACTTACGGGTCTAAAGGTGACGTTTTGATCAAAGGTTTCACCACAGCGGCTTTGAAGGATGTAGGTACCTCACCACTGAGAATACTAAGGTTCACTATTTGGGTTATGGATGGTAGAAGTACATCAAGCATTTGAAGCATGCAATCTAGGTCTTTGCACTAAGTACAGGCTATTGCCATATCTATCAAAGAACTGTGGCAACGGAGTACGCCTAACGTCATTCGTCGCCTTACTTCAGCAATGCGTTGACATGTTTTTGGCGTCTATTGAAGCCAATGTTGGTCACACTCACTATCGATTCATAATTTGATAACATTTTGATATAAAGAAAACGCCTTATATATGTTTTTCTTTTTTTTCAACACTGTATACTTTCTTATGAGCGCTAGTTTATATTCTTACCTCAGACTGGGCACAATATAAAAACGGCTCTGAGCTATAACATACACACCATTCTTAAAAATGAGCCTACATGCTGATGCATGTTTAACAGTGCAGAAAATAACATTGCACTTTTCTGCTGCTTAACTATTTTAGAAAATCGGACGAAACCTATCCCAGAACAGAGGTTACGACTAACACTCCGTATTTCAACGTGAAAGGTTCAGGGCAAACCTCTGCCCATTGTAGTACACATACGAACATCGTCAGTATCGGGTCTTGAAGTTTGTAAAGACATCAAGTAAACATACCAAATAAGGAGACACTATTCAATAGTCAAGAGGGACCCGCCATTCGGGAAACGTAGAGGTATTCCACATCGTCAGTGTCGGGTCTTGAAGTTAGTAAAGACATCAAGTAAACATACCACACTAGCAGACACTATTCAATAGTCAAGAGGGACCCGCCATTAGGGAAACGTAGAGGTATTCCATATCGTCAGTGTCAGGTCTTGAAGTTTGTAAAGACATCAAGTAAACATACCAAATAAGGAGACACTATTCAATAGTCAAGAGTGATCCGCCATTCGGGAAACGTAGAGGTATTCCATATCGTCAGAGTCGGGTCTTGAAGTTTATAAAGACATCAAGTAAACATACCACACTAGGAGACACTATACAATAGTCAAGAGGGGTCCGCCATTCGGGAGACGTAGAGGAATTCCACATCCAACGGTGCTAGATGCTTTCTTTTAGTAATAAAATGGATATGGATGAAATACAATGACACATATCAACCGCGAAATGTGCATCCGATGATCCTTGACATGGGTTGATTTGTTGCAAACTTACCCAGTTAATTATGAATGGGATTTTACAATATAGACTGGTTGGTGACTTTGCAATCTCATTTCTCCACACAATGCATTCGTATATAAGGCAAATGTTCTGTCATTGATGGATGACTTGAGAAGTACATATCAGTATAGAACAAATGTGTCCCCACTGCCCTACCACATATGTGATCTAAATATAGCCCGTCCTACCCGACAGCAATGAGGAAGTATGATGTGTGATATTATTAGTGCACTGTGTTCAGGTTTCCACCAGACGTAGGTAGGATGCTTCATGGATAAGATACAAATTAGAAGACCATACCAGCTGAATCCAGGTGAGTGTTGTTTTCAGGCAATGCAACAATCATCCGGGTACTTTTGACCCGCGGCCCAAACGGAGCCCCAGGCAAGGACACCGCCGCAGTGGTCGCACGAGTGAATCGAAGAGGGTTCCATACGTTTAGGATAGGATATTAAGTGTACGTATTTGCAGGTGCTGGTGTTCTCTTTCAGGGAGTTATGAAACAACAAGAGGTGTAGGTATCTCTATTACATTCTACGTTTAACTCCATTGTCCCTAGCAGAAACACAGTTGGCAATACGCCAGCGAGAGTCCGCCTACCTGTATGTGTACACAGGTGAACACCAGTTACATGTACATATGGACTGTGAGTGCTACATGACTTGTCAGTACTCACCATTGAAAGCTTTACACAAACCGACAGCCCACAGGAAGGTTGTACTACAAATACAAAGGCGGCCTGGTGAGATTAATCTGCATTTTACCACGGAAATATCACCAGCAAATCCTGCCAGTTCAGGGCAACGGATTTCGTTTAGGTCGCTCACGAATATGCTGAATGCTACAAGTGGTGGAGTTCCCAATTTAGGATTGACAACTTATTTCAGTTGTCGTTCCAGAACAAAATTCAATGTGTCATGACAATATGACATATGCCGGTTTCATTCCTGACATTATTGGCAAGGGCGTCTATTGAAATATTGATACAACTCAGTGTACAACTCAAGTGTACAAGTCAAGTGTACAAGTCAAGTATAATGATATTACTTCCTATGAGGCACTTTCCAATGACAACCAGTGCCGCAGATAGTGGACTTTGAAATGTCCTTACAAACAACAAGCAATCTGGTTTGATACCATTATATGCGCATGAAAGGAATACAGTTGGAACAATGACAGCATGGAGTCGATGTGTTTACAACTGGCCACGTTTCAATGAATCGAATTAGGTGCGTTGAATTTGAAGCTGAACTGTAAGGTTTGACAGGCCATAGGTAGATTACTTGTCTTGTTATCTTTAGATAAGAGAGTGAGTTTGGCTTAACGTCATTTTGCACATGCTTAGAGAATGAAGAATACAGAAGAATGAATAAATAAGGAATTGTTTTTATGGGAAACCAATAAGAGAGACAACATATATCCAAATCCCTATTAAACCAGACATGTGATAATGATAATGATTGTTAAATTCAACCAGAAATCATTTTCTTTACAGAGACATGACCAATCCGACCAGTTTTGTCATGGAATCTTGGCATGCGGGTTTCATGATGTATGTTATCGGAATTGTCATCACTGGTAGGTTTATTCTGTTTTTGTAATACTCTTAAACACACAAAGGTGAAGTTTTACCTTATCCACTAACTTCCACTTTCCTCGATTTGTTCGAGTCAGATCCAATACAATATCCGTTTTTACATTTCCAATACATTTAGCCCAATGCACAAAATGCACAATCTCTACCCTTTGAATTGGTGTTTCCTCCATTGTCCGAGAGCATTCGATGTAACAGTGCACCTCCTCAGTCCGTGGCGTCCATAGAAATCAGAGCAATAATATCTGGGGAACCAAGTCCCAATCAACCGAAGTAGAGGCATTTGAATGTAAACTGGCGCTGGCACTAGTACTGACTTAATGTGTAATCTATGTTTGGATCTTAGTTCGGGTTTAGAACTAATGTACGGCCATTGTTAAAAGGTTCGATTTAGTTTATGTCTGCACTTTCCATATGCTTTGCGAAGTGTCCATAGAGAAATATATATTTTTAAGTGTTAAATTGTAAACCATTTAGGTTCGTGTTTCAGAATCGATTCTTCGTATACAGTATGGATATATCAGAATACAAGCATTGCAGTTGCAGAAATTGTCGAACGGGTCAGAAAACACTGTAGGATGTAATGGGTCACACTGGTCGTGATGCTGGTGATACTTGTTTATAAAAGATACATTGCCATTTCTCACTGTCTTTGGTGTACAAGGCTGCTATATGTAAAACTAAATCATCTATAATGGGATCTTCATGATATCTTTCTGCTCTGATGTCGATATAAGCGCGTTTGTTAACAATATATAAGTCTGTTTACACAAACCCCGTAGTTTATGGTCGTTATCACAACATGTTTTGTAACTAATGCTTGAAATATCCTCCTAATGCCTACCATAAAGCGTGTCGAAAGCTTGATTATCGGAACCTCATTTAAACAACGTTTGACACACGGCGTGACACTCTTTAACATCATCGTAGACTGGGCGTTAAGTCATCACTGCACACATGAAGATATAAGACAATGTTTCCACAGGTGTACAGTCCCAGTTGGCGAGTCCTGTGTTAGTGAGGGAGTCTGAGACAGCCAGCTTCAGGTGGCAGGTACCAGCTATACCAGGGGGACTCTCTGTCCTGTATGTCATCAGTCCATCTGGAGCTGCAGTACTACTGGCCAACACACTCAATAACCACCAGGTACTGGGGAACTACACAGCTCGTGTCACCTACACCGGGAATCTAACTGCTGACCCCAAGGTCATGGCCCTTGACCTCCGCAGTGTTGTCAGATCTGATGCTGGGACCTACACCTGTAGGAGGAATGGACCAACTGACATTTTACCTCAGTGTGGACAGAAGCTGGTTGTTCTTGGTAAGAGTGTGTGAGGAAATGTTAGCAACAGTGTCGACGTCAATCATTTGTTTGTTAAATAATAAACAAAAACAACCACCTACTTACATTACATAATACAAGCTGTTCTTGGTGAGGATTATGTTTAGAATGAATAGTAACAGTGTCAGTCATTAGTCAGTCATGTAATAAAACACGACTAGTATACATGTGATAGTAGCATGAGACAAAGAAGATGGTTGGAGATTAATATTCGAGTAGACATTTTTCCATTGCTGTTATATGTTAGTTAAATCATAAAGAGACCCATGAAGGTTAGGTTTTCGTCACAGGGTAGGTACATTAGGGAAAATATCCTGGTTGATCCAGGTAATTATTATGTGTAGAAATACTATCAAGAACGTCACTCACTCCGGGGAAACAACCCTCAAAACAGGAACAGGGTACAAGCTATGTGATGCCTATTCTGTCCGTTTTAATTAAATCCATACTGCACGTTTTATGAAATCTATGATGCTATTGTTTTAACGTCCAGGTTGGAGGTTATTATTCTAATCCACAAAAGCCGACATGTTAAACATTGTATTATATTATTAGACATCTTGTATTTAACTTTGAAGAGAAAAAAAAAATGTCTCTGAGTTTTATTTGTGCATGTGAATTGGCTGTTTCATTATTCTTGAACGATATATTACATCATCTATCCACCCGGAGAGTAAGAACTGTTTGGGCAAATTACTTTATATTGATTTTGTCAACCAGAGCCGAAATTCTAATTCATAAGGTCAAAGAAAACAGATCCAAAGGGTGGGAGCACAACTCGTGTCAATGGAGAAGGCTACCTCTTGTTTGAATGTTTACCTCACATTTTACGTTGATGGAAGAAGTCCTATATTTCATATAGTTTTCCCTGTAAACTTCAGATTACATTTGCTTGCTCTCACTTTACACGAAATACCCTTAACCACTAGATATAGAAATGTAAGTATACCTATCCTCGCCACCTTTATTAACAGATGCCCCATGAAAGAAGGAATCAAGTTTTTCTTTAGGTTTGCTATGTAGTGATGTATAATGTTGAAAAGTGAAATGTTTTCACCGAAATTGGTCCATTTGTGAGATCTCATGAAATTTCAAGCACATAATTTGAGTGTTTTTCAAAAGCCAAAAGGTATCAATTCTGATTGTTGTCAGAGCAATGTGTTCTATTTGTCGAATTGTAACGTATACTCATCTCTTTAACGGTGTGATGTTAGAAACCTGTTAAGCAAGAGGACGCTTACAAAGTCCATCCTTATCTCCCCACTGTGTTCTTGCACATGTGCAGTAGTCGTACAGGTTTGATGTCGATGTCCCACAATAGTATTCTTGCTAACATTATCCCTTTAGATCATTCAGAAAGTATTCTTAACGGGTGTTTTCCCGTCCTTATGTTCGCGCAGATTTTTATTATTTATTGATCAATTCATTTTATTTCTAGTTTTGAACATAACACTGTCAACTGATCTATTCACAATCATATGAGAGAAATGCTCAGTATATATACTTGAAGGACACTTTAACATTTTCAGGTCAGTCCACCAAGCCAACTCGCAATGGACCATCAACCCCTGTGTTTGGAAGACAAGTGACCTTGACCTGCAGCTCCACCTCTACCACTGTCCCAGCTGACCATGGTCTGACTTTGATCTACACCTGGCAGCGTGACAACACTAACATCACAGTTACCTCCCCTGGTTCCCCCCTACACCTTCACAGTGAGTTCCCGGGACAGCCACAGCTACAGATGTAGAGCGAGAGAAAGTCAGGGTCCGGAGTCAGAGTGGAGCCAGGTGTACAACATGGAGCCACAATGTGGGTCTAACGCAATTCATAAAACTATTCCACATGAAAACTAAACCGCATTGCAGAGAAGTTTCATGGGGTACTTGGTCGCTTTTAAGATATTATGATGGATTAGAAGCGCAATTCACTGATACCTCCGCACGGGTATGAATATTTTTAATATAAAACATCATCAGTCAGTGAGTATAGATTTACGCGACACTCGCTCTGTATAAACCCACGCCTGGACCAGACAATCTAGTAATCAACATCATGATCATTCTACGTAGTAGGGACATGATGAACCACAAGCATGGGTTACTGAAGATCAACTCTAACCCGCATCTTCAAGGGTCTAACAATTGCAGCGGTATGCGTACATATACATTGGTGTAGTCTGTTACATTCTTCTTCCTGTCTGACAGATGGCCCTTATAATGTGACCCTATAACCCTCCACCCTGTCCTACACCAGGAGGGAAGGTTAATGGAGTGTACCAAGTATCCTGTTTTTCCCCACCTGTGTGTACATACATTGGTTTAATCTGTTTCACTGTTCTTCCTCTCTGACAGATGGACCCTATGCTGTGGTACTACAACCCTCCACTCTGTCCTACACCAGGAGGGAAGGTCAAGAGGTTGTACCAAGTATCCAGTGTTCCCCCCACCTGTGTGTACATACATTGGTTTAATCTGTTTTACTGTTCTTCCTTTCTGACAGATGGCCCCTATGCTGTGACCCTACAACCCTCCACTCTGTCCTACACCAGGAGGGAAGGTCAAGAGAGTGTACCAAGTATCCTGTGTTCAGCCACCTGCAAACCTGTCTGTACATACAAGTGGTTCAAGAATGGGACATCTCACAGTGATGGAGCTACACTGACTCTCCCGGTGGCTGACAGGTCACAGACAGGACCCTACAAGTGTCAGGCTTCCAATACATACGGGACTGTTGACAGCTCAAGTGTCTCAGTGGATGTTACATGTGAGTATTGTCTACGGGACTGTTTTAGGACCAAGCAATACGAGAACTCATTTAACACTATATACAATGCAATATGTATACATTTTAGCCGGATGGGCTTTATATATACTATCCGAAAAAGGAAACGCATAGGCCAGAATTATTTTGCGAAAATGCTGTATTTCAAACAGGTATAACTCGTCCACAAATGGACTTTAGTACATGATTGTTTACATCAGTATAAAAGAAGGAAATGTCTATACAACCAAGTGGATCATTTTAGATAACGGATACGTTGGGCGACTTGGTGACTACGTAGCATGGGCCCGACGTTGGGTCTCCTGCCTCTCAGTCCCAATCTCTCTCGACCTGTTCCGTACTGTTTGACCGGATATCCACCGAAGTTCCGGCACACTCTGTTGTGTTCTCACCCGTGGCAGTACAAACACGCAAATGTAGTACCCGGATGTACCGATCTTGGGCTGCAGTGGTGACTCGAGGTCTGGCTGTACGGGGACGGTCATTTGTTAAACCTGTTTGGTTATAACGAGCTGATATTGTGCTCAAACTAACATTCAGACGCGTGGCAACAGAAGAATTGTAACCTCCATCGTGCCTTCTTTCAATGGCGATGTTCCGTGTCGCAGAGTCAAGACGTAGCGTAGTGATTTGACCTTGAAACTCCTTCCAAACGATTGTCGATTTCCGAAAATAATCTGGGGTTTTACAGCCAGACAATGATGCACAATTTCAACTGGAAGGTGATTTCGGTTACATTGTGGCGATGCCTTTTTAATCCTTGTAAGACATCTCATCAAAATCAACATTTTCAGGTAAAGTCGATTCTTTTCCCTGTGCAGTCGTGTTCAATCATTTTATCAACATTTTTGTTAGATATATTGACGATTGTTTGAACACAAAGGGTAATTAATAGATTGTAAAAAATACGAAACGTTTATGCGTTTTTGGGGGGATAGTATATTTAGGCAACACAACTTGTCATCCATACCAATTTCATCACTTCCATGGTCAAGTGGATAGCTGGTCATAGGATAAATACGGATAAAAGACACACACTTAAGGAGGTTCCCAAACCATATTTGACTGTTGAATCCAATATGAACACAGTATACTGCGTGGCCTCATTGTCCACCTTTTTTCAGATCAAGCAAGCATGAGTATGATGAGTGCCAACTCCCACAGTGGGTCAGTGACTGTCAATGAGTCTGACCCAGTGACCTTCAGATGTGAGTTGGATAATGCTGGCAATCCAAGGTCAGTCATCAGGTTACTGAATGGAACTGAGGAGTTGACAAGGGCAGATAACTCTCTGACAGCAACATATAGACTGGAGTCAACAGTCAACTGTAGACAAAGAGGGAACTACTCCTGTACTGCCTCCAACTACATCGGTGCACCTGTCAGTCAGATGGTGGAACTGCTGGTCAGATGTGAGATATTTTTTGTCTGTGTAGTAGTTGTAGTAGTAGTAGTGAGTTAGTTAGTTAGTGAGTAAGTTTACTTTTACGCCGCACTCAGCAATATTCCAGGTGTATGGCGGCAGGCTGTAAATAATCGAGTCTGGACTAGACAATCCAGTGATCAACAACATGAACATCGATCTGCGAATTTGGGAATCGATGACATAGTAGTAGAAGTAGTAGTAGTAGTAGTGGGAGGAGGAGAAGTATTAGTAGTAGTGGTGGTGGTGAAAAAAACACATGGGGGAAAATTGACGTATTTACACACTCATAATTAGAATTATACATATACTCTGTACATGAACAATGTTTATATATTTAGAGTGTGGGTGTAGCAGTTAGAGTTTCTTAGTCTCTTATTTTAGTCATTAAGAAATGATTTCCGTAAGGTTCTCCTCGACTTGCTGAGACAGTAGCCCGGGCAACTCAAGTTCACCGCTACGCTAGGTGGTGATGTGACTGTGTCTGTGTCAGTCCTGTCCTACCCCCTTCCTACATTCACCTGGAGTAGATCCATCAGCACCAGCCAGGATCTGACTGGTTCCTCCAGCCCTGTCTCAGACATCTCAGTCACTGCCAGACTACACCTTACTAACCTCCAACAGCAGGACTTCGGGGACTATAATCTTACAGTGGACAATGGTGTAGGCGAGTCAGTGGTATACACATTCAGCGTTGAGCCTGCAGGTCAGTTTCTGATGTATCACTGGTACATGAAGCTTTCAGGATTTAACTTCTCCTGTGTCAGAATAGCTCTCTCTAACTTTTGTTTGTTTACCTTTATTGTGCTTCACAAAATATATAATGACAACATTCTAAGGTAAAACGATGACAATAATTTCTGATTAATTTGTTGCAAGGACCACCACAGACACCTACACAGCTTAGAGATCTGGATAATGCAACAACGTCGTCGGTATGGTTGTCGTGGCTGCCTGGGTTCAATTGTGGACACCCTCAGACGTTTCTCATTGAGTATCGTCAGTTTGCTACAAGAACGTGGACTGTGTATACTTCTATTGATGACCCTGGCGAGAAGATGGTGGTGGAAGTGACGGGCCTTATATCTGGAGAGATTTACATATTCCGACTAAGAGCTAGAAATGACTATGGGGATTCTAACATATATGTCTTTGTAGAAACTACGACTGCTGGGGGTAGGTGCGACTTAAGGAGAATCAGCCACTGGCTACTATAAATGTCTTTTGGAAAATTCATCAGCTGAAACAATGAAATATCCCAGATGGGAATACTTTGTTCTTTGATCAGATATTCAGATAATATAAATCCTTCACAAAATTCATATTTTTACTTGAATGCAGCAACGTATGATTCGTAACCAAGTGCAACTGTTATGATATTTTAATCACATTGTAGATCCAAAAGCCCAGCAAAAGCTCGAGACTGCATGTACCTGTACAGGGGTAACAGCAGGAGCGACTGTTGGAGGCATTCTTCTTACCCTGCTCATTGGAGGGACTGTTCTAATGGTGCTGTACAGAAAGGGGTACAGGATCGGAAATATTCTAAAAGGTATATATTTAATGTCACGATGTTAACTTGATATATGACTGAACAGTATTTACATGCAGTAGGTCTTCTTCAAAATGCATGGTCCATGATATTGGCTACATACGTAAATCATCGCTAGTCAAGATTGTGAATGATTGCGAAAGAGAGTAATCTGTACTGCCAATGTTTGTAATGTATCTATGGTTATGTTTTATTTCGGCAGATATTTACAATTAACGATATCATCTTCACTTTCCGGTCTTTTTTACGGTTAATGTTTTTTCTTCTCACTATATGCCGTTTTTCTTATTGTTGTTTTTCAGATGCTCGAAAAAGGTAATCTAAACTTCAACGATCATTCAGTAACTTGCAATAACTTAACTACATTTACGCTTTACTTACTGAGGATTTATATTATTGGCCAGTTATTAGAAACTGACCTGATGCTGTTTTGTAGCTCCAGCCATCCTGAACCCGTTGAAATGGACAACAGAGGATATTCATCTTTAGGTATGTACTGATTATTGGATATTTTCCTCTGTGATAGATCAATTTTCTCTTTATCTATTAGCACAAAATCATTACAATGTGTTTCAGATCAGATCACTGCTCAAACGCAGTATTCAAATTTGGAGGAGAAATCAGAAAAACTACAGTACACACAGTTGAAGATTTATGAGAACACAAAAGGTAGATGCCATTTAATAAAGTCGAATCTCAAGTTTCACGTGGCTGTACTGTTTGATTATTGGGGCACTTGTAAGGAGGTAAGCTTTAATTAGAATTTGTTTTTGAAATATGTGCTCAAATATATCTTCAGTTGATGCTGCATCAGATACAAGTACCTATGAGGGCGTGACAGAGACTCCCCCTGTGACCTATGAGTCCCTCAGTGTATCGCCATACCAGAACACTGGGGCACATTCTCCAGGTAACCAAACCATGAAACACTCCTGATGATTGAAACCTTCGTCATCTTCATGGATCCAATGTTTCCATAAATCTTTCCACATCAGTAATCATCACCATATGATTCCTCTTCTGTTCCAGTTAAATATGTTTGAATATTATCATATTTGTATGTTTGATCACCTTCAGTTCTTGACTTTGCAGGTCCTGACCATGGAAATACCTAGGAAGTACAGGGATATACATCATGACTTAAGTGTCAGTTATGGATAGAATACTCGTTAAGGATAGTGCAGTACTTCTTTTAGGCAAAGGTCTTTCTTAATTTCTTTCATTTCAAGTTCAGTCATATAATTCGTAGAGGGAAGAGAACAGTTGGTAGAACCGGTATCCAGTCATACCGGGGTTACGGTGAAACAGAGAAGACATTCTGAGTATGTACGAGAGACATCATGGTGCTGGGGTCGCTGGTTGTTACTTAGAGCAGCAGGCTTATGTTATTGGCCAGCCTGGTTACATATTACTCTCTCACGGCGCCCTGACAACTATGAAAGAACTGACGATTACTTCTTCTGGAGTGTGGAGCAACCATCCTTCCAGGACACTCACTGAGAGCCGAAAACAACGAGGCAGGAGTGTTGGGGTATCAGATGGATCACATTCCTGCAACTGACAGTTGATCTTTTGGACAAGGAATTTGTTTTTGTGACTGTCTACTGTTTCAGTTTTGGTGAGAAAGTTTCATTTTGACGGTTGATCTGAGTTTAATGGCTTACTATTTCAACATATGTGCATCATTTGGTGCATGATTAAAGAGGCAAAGCTCAGCAAACATTGAGTAGTTATTAGGTAAGGCTGATTTTACCGACAGCAACCAACATTTACGCAAACAACTTCCATTTTCACATTTTGGACATCATCCCAGACATTTCGAGGGACGCTAAATAGCCACATTGTCTTTAAAAGGGAATAAAATGTTTGTCTTAAATATGAATACCGTCATCCCAGTTCAACCTTGGATCGAGGGATCAGCTAACTAGCCAAATGTGTCTTTAACAGGAAATAAAATGTGTTGTCTGAAATATAATCTGGTGTAGAGTTTGAATGTCAAAGCAATACTATTTTATGTCTATGCAATAACGACCTAAGTAGCCTTAGAGCATGACACGTTTCACATTCATAAACCAGAGAAATGGAACAAACAATCTGAACCTCGTCACATCGGCTTTCACATCAGTTTACTGTGGGAGTACTGTAACAAGCTGGCAACCAGGAAACTCCTCAAATAACAAACCGGGTAACCAATACAACTCGGAAGTGAATTACAAATGACAATAGCATCATGATGTATATCACCCAATAAAGTCATTGACAGTTATCAGTAAAAAACCTATGTTTTCAGTAACCAGGTAAACACCGGCCAGGTGAAAATGGACGTGGTCAAGGTTGGTGTCACTTGTATCATGTCACCACATTCAGTAGTCAACTCAACTAGCACCCTTGTACCCAAGTGGGACGATTTCCTTTAAACAACTAGGTGGTTACGCTAATCAAGACATTGGAGATATATTGACAAAAGTCATTGTCATCTAGCTCCGTCGCTCGATGTATATAGCGGGATGGACTTCTCGAGACCGTTCTACAAGTAATAATGTACTCAGCCATGTACATCAATAAATACATTATTCACAAGAATTTACAGTTAGTTCATTAATACGCAGGAAGAGGCCTGCAGAGACAGACGGCAGTTACATTTGAAGGCCATGTGAATAGCCTTCGTCAAGATTTATGTCCACGCCCCTATGACTCACTCGCCAGACAGTTATATAGCAGGGGCAGCTTTTAGTGTCTCAGGGCTTTCAACACTAAAATATTGAGAAAAAGCGAGGTGCACAATGGTCATTTAGCAAACTCTCGGCACGAAAGCTGGGGTGGGTGCATAGGAGATCATCCCCTGCTGGATCCGACTATGTATACAAGAATGCAGAGTATATAGGCCACTGGGTCGCATTGTGTAGACAGAAGCATGAAACATGTCATTGTCGAACACATGAATTTAAACCAAAAGAGTCGCACCTTTTTCCAGCCGAGCTACCTAGAAACACAGGAACTGTGAAAATGTGCGCGCGAAACGTTCACAGGTATATCTGTCATGTATCTTGAAGCAGAGGACGTATGGGTATTCAAGGGTATGGCTGAATATACATCAGTATAGTGGTATATGCATCTGTGTATGTCAGAGATTGCAATGTTTGTGTATGTTTCAACATAATATTAAAATCTATGACACACATAGCATGGTGGCGTACTCGACCGAGCTATATTTAAATACAACTGAACTACTTGGAAGCGAGTGATATGCATGTACACCTACATATTACTTCCGTGTTGAGCTACCCGACTACACACGGCGACTAGAGTGACGGTTTATACCTGACAATCGCAAATCTAAGAAGGTATGTATAATGTATATCTTCTTCTATCGTTATCACAAAACATCTAATGTGTCTATGTTTACTCCTTCCGTCATGTTGTGCATGTCAACTGTGAACGCTTATACGATTCATGCCACTGTATATGAATAACCCACTATATATGTCGATAAACTCTTATGCGTTGACCTAGTTTCTAGCGGTATACATGTTGCTTGTGTACGAATCATCTGTACGTGATAGATTGATTAAAACACCCATCATTACATGCATTGTTACTTACTGAACAGGCACTGGTGTGACTGGGATTGTTTAAAGGGACAGGGAGTTCACAATACCCTTAGTTCAAAATACCAAAGTCGCCAGAGTGAGTGAGTTAATATTTAACATCACATCGGTAATATTTCAGCCATGTCGTGACGAGACCAATCTATACATTCAACTTGAATAACTCTATACCATAACAAATCACTAAAGTACAATAAATACAACAGAGTATCACATATATGGTTTAAAACCAGCATGTTATACTAAAATGTATCACTCTATTAAACAATACAACATACAACAGGCTACAGATCGCCAGCTATTGAATGTACCAGCGACCATTGAGACTTACATTCAGAAAACAAATGTACTTTAAGTCCCCATGGTCCCTAGTATGGTGATCTACTTTCAGTTGGTGGCAATCTATAGCCTGTTTTTTATATTGAATTGTCATATATAGTTAAGATATTTCAGATGTAATTACTAGTATTAAATTTATTTCTGTGATAATCTAGTTATGTTATTGCCCTTTGTTGACATGTTTTTATAGTTTACCATTAATTACTATGTATAACAATTGATTGTTTCACCACGATATGGCTGAAATTTTGTCTATGTGACGATAAATATTAGCTCACTCACTCATTCACTCACTCACTCACTCACTCAAGAATATTGCATATCAATTAGAGAGCTCATGTTTCAGATGGGTCCCCAGACTGAAACATTCTCCTGAATGAACAGCACAGCCTATATTGGGTTCAAGTGTTGGGTTAACGTCGCTATAAACAGTATTCCAGTTTAATCAGGTCAAGTAAACTCAGAGTGGTAGTAAACGTTGGGGTGTTGTAAATGTGAGGTATGCAGAACTTCAAACCCACGAGTACATACATGGTTGTGGGAAGCCGAGAAACCACAATTAGAGGGTTAAGAGTAGCGCTCAGTAGTTACTGGGAAGCCAGACCGTATCAGAATATACCATAACTCATTACTAGACACGCTACATGTCTCATATCTTTCAGATGATATAAATGTCTCAAACCACAAACCCACAAGTAAATATGAGAATAGTGTGCGTTTATTGATCTTTTACCTTTTCAGAACACCGCTGTCAATGGCGTCCCTTCGTATTATAAGAACATGTGTGTTTGCAGTTGTCCTGTTCAAAGGTAAGTCAGGTTTTGGATTAAAGATTATTGATGAATATTAGCAAACAAAATCTATTTCTAAACTAAATACTTACATGGCATCTAACACTCAAGGTGTATCATTTTCGCAGACGTTAATAGTCAACGTACTATTATCGAGCGCAGATCTAGCCCAAAGGGTGAGGGAAGATATTGATATCGAGCAAATGGTTTTCGAGGTTTAACAAAGAAGTGTAGAAAAAACAGATTTGCCCAGACTATGATCCCTGGTTTATCAGCAAGAAAAATGTGCTCCTCAGAGACCTGTCATATAGTCCTTGTTGTCAGATGTTGGGGGAGGAGTGACTATAGCAGGGTCAGTAGATACAGGGATACCAAAACCAGCAGGCTCTGACACTGAGATGCAGCTTCACTGTGACACTGTGATACCTGGGGATATTGTTACTTATTTCCAGGTGTTGAGGGAGCAGTGACTGTATCGGGGTCAGGAGGTACAGAGAAACCCAACCAGCAGGCTCTGACACTGAGATGCAGCTACACTGTGACACCTGGTGATATTGTTACTTATTTCCAGATGTTGAGGGAGCAGTGAGTGTATCAGGGTCAGGAGGTACAGGGATACCCAACCAGCAGGCTCTGACACTGAGATGCTGCTACACTTTGACATCTGGGGATGTTGTTACTGAGTTCACATGGAGGAGGTTGGATGGCAGCTCTACAGTGGACATAGTCAGTGGGTCAGTGCCTGCTCAGACAGCTGTGTTCCAGGAATCCTGGCAGAACAAGGGCGTGTTTGTTGGTGACTTCACCTCCTCCCTCGACATCCAGCTGCCTGCCAGTCACGTGACCTCCAGCTATGCCGGGACATACAGGTGTGAAGTGACTTCACTGTCAGGGTCTGGTCATGCTGAAGTCACTGCCTCTGTGTTGAGTAAGTATATGACAGACAGTGTTATGTTAGAAGGGTAACGGGTGACCTCCAGCTTTGCCGGGTTCTACAGGTGTGAAGTGACTTCACTGTCAGGTTCTTGTTATGCTGATGTCACTGCCTCTGTGTTGAGTAAGTATATGGTAGACATTGTTCTGTTAGAAGGGTAACGGGTGACCTCCAGCTATGCCGGGTTCTACAGGTGTGAAGTGACTTCACTGTCAGGTTCTGGTTATGCTGATGTCAATGCCTCTGTGTTGAGTAAGTATGCATGAAACCCAACATCATGAATTATGCAATGATTGCCTGTGGTGTGTCATCAACATAACATGTTTTATTAAACATGTGAAATAATCTAATATCTCATCCGTGTACTTTTGCATTGATGCAAACAGCAATATCTTACTGGACACGAACGAAAGTCTTCATTTCATTGCAATATATTTATTTAAACATATACGTTTCAGAGTGGCATATACTGATACGTTCAAGTGTTGTACACTAAGAAATATTCACATCATATATTCTACACATTTTCAGATAATATTATGATATCACTATGTGATAATGATTCATAAACAGATGCTCATGATATCACCGGAATCGTACAATCCAGTCTGCTTTGGACAGAAATGTATGATGGATTATGATACTTATATTCATTACCTACCTTTGTTTTCCTGATAACATCATCCAATGATAAGCTCCATAAAATAATGGCTTCATCATGTATAGCAACTGAGTGCAGATGATTCAACACAGATATGTTGTACATATTATTTTTTATGATGATTGTACCGATTACAGAACTCATGCACAGAACCCCCGCGTCTTCACTTCAGCAAGCATAATACACAAGGTGATTCGGTCAAATTACTGCCATATAGATATCTTTCTGAATTATAGATATCAGCCCTGAAGAATCCACACTCATTGCTCAAGTGTTTGTGTATGACGTACATACTATACATCAAAGAACACCTTTCGTACATCCAGACATATTTCTAAGAAGCAATTTAAAATGAAATTACACATTCATTGTCTCATGTCTCAAAAGATGAATATTTATCATAAGGCATTGACCTGTGTTTATATTAACATGTTTATACAAAAACATTATTCTTCAACATTAAATGCAATGTGAACTTGTTAACGAGACGTTATTTAAGCATATGGCATGTGGAATGTATACTTGTACACATCAACTTCTGACCTCCCTTCCACCTACACAATGAAGGAGTCAATCCGTTCCCTGATACACATTAGTACCTACACTAGGTTGTCAGCTACCACAATGCTGCCATCAACAGTCGGGGATCAGATTCAGCCTCTAACTGCACAAAAGTATTTCACAAAATGTCACTGACTATTCATTTCAGACCCTCCATCTATATCTGGACTAGCACCAGCGCAGACCGTCACAGAGTTCTCTAACCTCAGGATAGACTGTAGCACATACACCACACCAGGCAACCCTTCAACAACAAGCTACACATGGACCTATGGTGGTTCTACTGTCAGTACCGGGTCTGTACTTGACAGAAGGAACATCAGCAGGAGTCAGGGAGGAGACTACATCTGTACTGCCAGCAACAGTCAGGGATCAGACTCAGACTCAGTCAGTGTGGATGTGCAATGTGAGTCATCCCAATACCTTCACCCACATGTAACATCATTTCTTGCCGTTATTGTTCAGATCAGCATAAACATATTTCCGGTACCATGTTGTACATTCTGATCTAATATAGCCATGATGTTTGGGTATATACAGTCTAGCAAACGTAAACTGAATTTAGCAAAACGATTTGTAATTTTTAGATCCCCCTTCTATATCTGGACTACCACCAACAGAGACCGTCATGGAGTTCTTCAACTTCGTGATAGACTGTAGCACCTACACCACACCTGGCAACCCTCCAACTACAAGCTACACATGGACCTATGGTGGTTCTACTGTCAGTACTGGGGCTGTACTTGACAGAAGGAATATCAGCAGGAGTCAGGGAGGAGACTACACCTGTACTTCCAGCAACAGTCAGGGATCAGACTCAGCCTCGGTTAATGTAGATGTACGATGTGAGTAGCCAGTCTTTAGACAGTTCTTAGCGGTATTCATTCCCTACTTTAAAAGATAGACTATAGTCATAAGGTGGATCTTCCGTTCTACTGGGGCTGTACAGGACTATCTACTGTTCTACTGGAGCTGCATTTGGGGTTTGACAGGGAACCAAAGTCTACTTCTGTGAGGTGTGACCGTATCACAATCAACGTCACCAACGCTTTAAACATTTTTAGTTTCAGTATGCAAGGTGTGACTGCGACGGCGTCACTATCTATCTCATCATAGCTACCAGTTGCATTATCCATCATGTTGAATCATACAGTTGAATGTATCATTGATCAGTGAAAATTCGGAATAGCCTTCTATCACATTTTTCATATAAGTGAACCTCGGTATATAATGGCACAGAACAATTAATTCACTATTGAAATTACTCACAACTTGTCATGATCGTCACCATCTATCACATGCAAGCCACATTTTTTGGTATGTACATAGATGTCCGGCGAATGCTGAAGCACTTGTAAGGTGAGCCTCTAAAAGAAGTTAATTTGACTAGTCCAGCATAACAGTATGTATGTGTTCCAGCTGACCTCTGAGCTCTTGTTTATTAACATTGATAAAATCCACTAATACACAAACACCCTAAATATACTGAGTCAAAAAAGAAACTTCACATTATTTCTTCAGGGCACTATAAAAGAACAAGAGATGGTAAGATGGTTTAATTGTTATTATTTCATTGCTGAGATCTGTGTGATGTACTCGATACACTGACAGTGCCATAATCAGTTCCATTAGGCTACACCGCCGTTCGAATGTCAAGTCACAAGAAGAAAAATGCGAAATGTCTCAGTTCAATATCGTGAATGGCCGCTCCGCGCATTCAAAACTGAGTTTCTTGTAACATTCCGAATGTATCATCCGTTCATGAATCACTCTTAAATAGCGACACCAAGTGTAAGCTGGAAAACAAGCACGTTAAAATTCACAGCAGAGAATGACATTGACAGGGTTGCTATAGCAAGGCCATGTTTGATTGTACCTCAGAAGCTGTGACATGACACCAAAGGCTGCACCCGCTTGAATAATGCTTAACATGAAGTAAAACATGACAATTGGGGCGTTGATTCCATTTTTCTGAACTCCTGTTCACGGTATAGTCAGAGAAACACATAATTATGCAACTAAATAATCTACATCAGAAGGGATTAGCTTGTCGACATGGTGGATTTCCCGTATTCACATCGTCACAGTAATGTTCGAAGGAATGTCACAAAAATGTCTGAGTGCATATTGTGCCCTGCTGTGTAAACAGATGAAGTTTGGCAATGCCAAGATGACATGCTTCATTACAGACAGATATCATGTGTTACACCAACGCTGAAACTACCTGTCATAGGCTATACCATGTTTTGTGTTTTGAATTATTGAAATCAACACATGAACAAACAACGTCAATGAATGATCAATGAACATTACGTAAACACACACAGTTGATGTTTCTTTCAGACCCAGCAAGCATACGGACGCTCACCGCCAACTCTAAGAGTGGCTCAGTGACAGTGAACGAGTCTGATACAGTGACACTGAGCTTCCAGATTGACAGTAATCCAAAGTCCGTCATCAGGTTACTGAATGGATCTGAGGAGTTGACAAGGGCAGATAACTCCCTGACAGTAACAAATAGACTAGAGGAGACCGCCTTAGGCTGTTGACAGGGTCGGACGTGCTTGTCAGCCGCTCCGCTGTAAGGGCCTGTGTTGGGTCAAGAATTTCATATTCAGTTCTACGTTTGGCATATATATATTTGTGTATTATCATTAAGGTAAGTGATTGTAGGCTATCGAGGGTCAAATATTGGCTTATTTTGCCATATTTGTGTGTTTTGTTGGCTCGCGGTGACTTACCGCACCACGTGGCCTCGGTTTTCGCGCATTGTGTCTGCGTGAAATTTTTCATTTCGACTTGGTCTTAGGACTATTTGGGTATGGAGAGCGACACTGATGGGGATGGGGATGATAATATTCTCGCTACCTCATTTGAGGAAACCTCGACAGATGCTGAATTTGCAGAGAAATACGTGTCAATGATTTCCAAACGTTTGAAACGAAAACATGAGGATGACCGAGTTGTAAGTGATACGACATCGTCATTACCTATCAAATTTGTTGTCATTCTTACTTCTGTTGACCCAAGATTACGTTTGACAAACTTGAGTCCAATTGCTCTGGCTCGGGATATCCATAAAAACATTGGCGATGTGGAGTATATGAAAAAACTGGAAAAGGGAGATTTAGTGATACACTGCAGGTCTGCTGAGCAACTTACCCTTGCACTGAATGTAACGTGTGTCTGTGACGTTCGTGTCAAGAGTTCTGTCCCCAAGAGTCTTAGTGAATCTAAGGGAGTTATTTACAATGTTGACACAGATGTAAATGAGGATGAGATAGTTGAGCAATTGAGAAGTCAAAAGGTTAAAAGTGCCCAAAGACTTTTGCGTGGAAAAGAAAAGGAACTTACTACTTCCATTCTTCTTACTTTCTCAACCCCACATTTGCCTGAACGTGTTAGGATGTATTATCAGTCCTTTCGAGTGCGTCTGTATATCCCACCAGCTATTAGATGCTACAATTGCCAGAAATATGGCCATGTTTCAACACGATGTAAAAGTAAAAAAGCCTGTATGTCCCAGGTGCAGTGGTGAGCACAAAGTAGAAAATTGTTCGGAAACAGTATCGAAGTGTTGCAACTGTGGTGGTAGCCACAGTGCTGCCTACAAGGGATGTGAGAAATACAAGGAGGCAGTATCTGTGCAAAGGGTACGAGTAGAGAGTAAACTGTCTTATGCTGAAGCAACTCGTATAGTCAAGTCCACTCAAGCTCCATCTTATGCAGCTACTGTAACCGCCGCTCAGAAATCACGTTCTGTGTCGGTACAAGCCTCACAATCAACAGTTGGAACACGTCCTGTTCCTCTTGCAGCTACATCTGGGTCTAACCCTACCTGCATTTGTAAATGTCAGTCACGAGAGTCAAATTTAAGCCAGAGTGTATCAAATCCATCTGTTACAGCTCAAGTCAGCTCTCCACAGGTAACCAATCCATTTCTTAGTACTTCTCCTCAAACCTTTTTAACGTTCTTGTTTGAGGTGATTTCAGGATGCTTTAATGCAACAACCAAAGAGGAACAGATTAATCGTCTTGTGTCGGCGGCAAAAATACATCTTCACATCGATGTTCCTAGTGATCTGTTGACTGAGGTACATGTGGAGATGAATGATGGATAAAGCATTAGTATTCTTGACCATAATGCAATGGAATGCACAAAGTCTCGTTGCACATGGGGATAATTTAAAGCATTTTCTATCAAATAGGTCACCACTGCCAGATGTTATTTGTGTACAGGAAACTTTTCTTTGGCCAGAGAGTCATTTTAGAATTAATGGCTATTTTGGTCTACGTCAGGACAGACTAACCAGCAATCCGAATACTAAAAATCCTCGAAGAGGTGGTTGTGCTATATTTATTAAGACTGATTTGTCGTATCAGGTTCAAGAATTACCAAATACAGTGTATGAGGCTAACGCAGTAAAACTTCATTATGAGGAAGATAAAGTCATTACTATTGTTAATATTTATAATACAGGTAAGCCAAACGTAGATGAATATCTGAAATTAATTGATCCCAATTGAGGCCCATATTTTATATGTGGGGACTTCAACAGCCATAATATGTTTTGGGGAAGCAACAAGACGGATTATAATGGTCGGATTGTTGAACAATTTTTAGATGAAGCAGATCTTGTCCTTTTAAACGATGGTAAAATGACCCGCATGGATCTTGGCAAATGGACTTTTTCTCCTTTAGATCTATCAATGATATCATCACACATAGCCAGTAAATGTAACTGGGATGTATTTCAGGAAGATGCATTAGGTAGTGACCACTTTCCTGTTTTTACTGAAATTCAGGTTCGACCATATCGTGATTCTTGTGATAAAGTCCCTCGGTGGAAATTCAAGAAGGCTAATTGGGCACTTTTTTCTAGTCTGTGTACTGAACATATCACACCCGATCTTATAAATGGTGATGTTAATATGTCTAATGAAAATATCACAACACAATTAATAAGAATTGCAGAAGAGTCCATTGGAAAATCGTCTGTTAAGAAAGCGGCATTCCCGCCAAAGTCCTGGTGGAATGACAGCTGTGAAAAAGCCAATATCGCAAGGAAAAAGCATATAATAAGGTTCGCCACTCGTCATTGCCATGTGATTTGGCTGATTTTCGTAAGAAACGAGCTACGTTCCAACGTATTGTACGGAGTACAAAACGGTTGAGCTGGAGGGAATATATTTCAAATATTAATAGATTTACATCATTAACTAGTATCTGGTCCAAGGTGAAAACGATCGGTGGAAATAATATCCGTTCACCTATACCGGTAATGGGAGAAGCTGGAGAACTCGTATCAAAAAGTCAGAAAGTAAATGCTCTTGTTAAGCAATTTAAATCTGTTAGCAGTTCTGAAAATTATTGTCATGAATTCAGAGAATATAAACAAGTTTTTGAAACAAATTTTATTCCTGAAATGTCTTCTGCCATGTTGGAAAGTAGCTTGAAATCAATACAGCTATCACTCATGATGAACTTAAGGCAGCCATATCAAGAACACATATAATTCGGCACCAGGCGCGGATGAGTTGTGTTATGAAATGTTTAAGCATATGCCAGATTCTTCTCTAGCTGTTATTCGGGAACTATTGAACTTAAGTTGGTGTTCTGGATCCTTGCCTACGACATGGAGACATGCAATAATAGTTCCAGTGCCCAAACCAGGAAAAGATCCATCACTTCCTGCATCATATAGACCGATTGCTCTCACTTCTAATTTATGTAAAATCATGGAGAGAATAGTTACTACCCGCCTGAACTATTATCTTGAACGAAATGAGCTTCTTACTCACATCCAGTCAGGATTCAGAAAGGGGCGTTCATGTATAGATCAGC